CAGCAAATAACACTGCTTTTTTTTGCAAAGTGGGCCACCCCGGCCTCTGCATCATGCGATGCTGGTAACACTGATGACGTGTCGAGTTCTTATCTGCTATGGAGAAATCTTTAACCTCGCAAGAGAATCGCGTGATAGAGTTTATTATCACACCACACAATCAACTTGTCATGGATGGCTGCTAGTTCTATATATCATTCTTCCTAACGTACAAACTGAGCTATTGGTATCTTGCTTGAGATGCCCATTCCCTTTGCAAACGCCCAAATTCTCAATCTATTGAGGTCAAACTCGGATGGTTCTCTTTATGGACAAAGCCAAACTTATCTGCTTACCCAGTCCTCTACAATTGGTTAAGCCATCAGATAACTTTCTCCATAAAGAAAGATACTGACCTGAAAATGATGTGTGGACTAATTCATCAGTACAGTAACTCCGGCCCCTGATTAGGCTCAGCAGGAAGAGCAAAAACCATTACTTTTTTTTAGCAGAGCAAAAACCATTACTACTTACTCCTTCCGTTCGGAATTACTTGTCACAAAAATGGATAAAAATGGATGTATCTACAACTAAAATACATCTAGATACATTCATTTCTTGGACGAGTAATTCCAAACGGAGGGAGTACTAGCAAACAGAATGCCAGACAATGTGCTGCTATGCCAGTAGGATAAGTGATGTTTCTAAACGGTGACAAGCATAGAACATTGTACTTACCTTGCAAAAATTAAGACCAAAGGAAAGATGGCAAGATAAACATGACTTCTTCCTCCCCATTGTAAAATCTAAGCTCTTGGATGGCACTTGAAGAAGGGGCAAAAAAACAAATCCACATGCCTTGTAAATGCAGCAATGAGGGAGGATGCAACCAAAGCGAAGAAGATGTTTGTGGTTTGGGAAGGAGATATGTTTGTGATTTAGGAAGGAGGTTATTTAGGAAGAAGATGTTTGTGAGAGAAGAACATTGAGAAAAGGGATGTGCATTTTATCTAGGAAAGGAGATATTTATGCGGGGATGATGTATTAACCATGACGACACGCAGAAACTTCCCTTTACTAGTAAAGAAGATGTACAGATGTTTTTCATATTCTCAAACTTTAGGGACCTAAAATATCCCCGTTTACAATGTTGCCCTATGTTAAACAAAAAAAGGACTAATAGGCTAAGTTACGCATCACATCGGGTACGTTGACCTTTGTTACGCATAGCCGGATCTAGACATTTCACACTCTGACACATCACATTTGAACACAAGTTAGTTGTACGCAGGCTACTTCCTGAGAGAAAAAGCGACGTGATACTTGAATAATATCCACCAAACATACTAAACAAAGCACTTTATCATGCATGTCATGTCCAGGCAACAAAATCATGTTGGTTGTTACTTGTCTAAGCTCAATATTCGATAGCCGTTGCCGAATGCATTACATTTGGAAGCACGAACAAGAGTCTGTGTCCCCCCGCAAAAAGAAGAAAAGAAAAAAAGAACAAGAGTCTGTGTGTGAGAAAGAAAGACCATGCTGATGAGTTTCCCTCCAACTTAGCTGCAGGTAGCAGCTGTCTCCCACACCATGACTGTGTTAATCGCTTGATGCAGAGGCAGGGGTAATCCTTCTTTTCGAAGAAAAAAAAACTGTCCCCCATGCCAATCTTCTAGTCCTTAGATGGACGCACACATACGAGCTTAGCAAAGCAAGAAGAGCGCCATAGTACACGCACGCACAACTATGGCTTAAACTGACATTACAATGATTAGGATCAAAGATTACACAATAGCGACGTGTGCATCCATGCACAGATTGATTTAAGAAACCTTTCTCTCTCCCACTTAGCTGTGATGCTCATTTGCTTTGCTCGGCATGGCCTGGTATGGCTAGCTCGTACCAAGCTGCCATTAGCAGCCAGTTAAGCTGCATCGACCAGGTGGTTAACAGCTGAATGAAAGCCATATCATATCATACATGAGTATATGCGTCTCACTGGTCATTGAGTACGGATATACGGACATGACAGTGTCGCCTATCGCGACATCGAAAGATGAGCAAACGAGGGAAATGGTAGTGTTGGCTCCATATGTCTGAATGTCAGTACAGCTTGCTTGGTGATCTCAATCAATATCACTGACTGATTCAGTCAGTGTTGATGTTGTGCAGCTACTTAATTAGGAAGCATGGCGCATAGTTTAGTTTTGTATAATAACCAGTTAGTTACTGAATTGCTCTGGGCATATTTTGCCGTGTCTAACTAACTGGTCATTCGTTGAAGATGGTACCCTTTCTCTTGACAGTCCTTTAGTCCTGATTATTACTTGTTAATTTGCCATGTTATTGAACTTGAGAGTTCTGTTGGGCTGTTGGCTATCATAGTTAAAGGTTTACTCGGAGATTTTTCATATGTATGTACAACAGCAAGGAAGCAGTTGCGCGATGATGATGTGTTTAATTAAGGTTAAGCAAAGCAGCAACGCATTGGCTGTACTGCAGCTTGCACTTGATCATGAATGTTGGTGACACTGGTGAGTGATGTACTGAGCTCTAATTTGCTATGACATACATGATCTTTAACCTCGCAGGAGAACTGCGTGATAAAGTTCATTATCATTACACATAGTAAACATGTCATGGATGACTACTAGATCTACATATTGTTCTTCCTAACATACAAACTGAGATCTTGGTATCTTACTTGAGATGCCCAATCTCATTGCAAACCACCAAATCTATCTGCTTACCCAGTCCTCTGCAATTGGTTAAGTCAAGATAACTTTCTCGACAAACAAAGAAAGATACTACTGACCCGAAAATGACGTGTGGACCAATTTATCAGACAGTAACTCCGGCCCCTTGTTAGGCTCAGCAAGTCAGCTGGAAGAGTAAGCAAAAACCATCACTACTTAACAAACAGAATGCCAAACAATGTGCTACCCCATTCACAGTAGGATAGGATAAGTGATGTGTCTAACGATGACAAGCAGATTGCAAAAATTAAGATGAGAGAAAGGATGGACAGATAAACATGAGTTCTTTCTCCCCACTGTAAATTACAAGCTCTTGGCTGGCACTTGAAGAAGGGGCAAAAAAAAAATCCACATGCCTTGTAAATGCAACAATGAGGGAGGATGCAACCAAAGCAGTTTACAGCACCGGATCATCATAATTTCCACAAGGACCGACTGTTATTTTTAACTAAACACCGGTGAGGCTAGCAATGTGTCGAGTAATTAACCGGTAATTAGTCTGGAGCCATAAGTAAACGACATGCCATTTCAATTTGCTTGTCCGTTTGGTTGGAGGGTGGTTTGTTAATATGACAAATGCAAGAATTCTGAGACATTGCGCTGTCCTATACGGAAGGTTTCATGGAGAGGTGGCACATTTTTTTGTCATTATTGTGCCATTTTCTTAGATGCCTACAGTCCAAGAAAATGTGGTATTACCCTGCTCTTCCAAGTAAATTTCCATGTGCCACCTCTAAACATTCAAATAAACATTTGTTTTGTGTGCCCTTACCGTACATGGAGCGACAAGGGGCGGTCAATATCTTCCACGCTAAGCGGATTATTCTCATGATTGGTGTTTATTCGCTTGTCATTGCACGAGAGAGGCTGATAATTGGGATGCCCAGTCCTATAATTAATATGAAAAAAATAATATAATGAAACAAACTCTCGTAAAAGATAATATGGTGACCACCTTGCAATAAAGAGTGCTTTGATGTAAAAAATGCCCTTCTCTCGGCTAAAAAGAAACTACTCTTCCCAGAGCGCATGACACACCACGTCTTCCGCACCCTGCTGCCGCCCCCGCTGCTCCACCCCCTCCGCTCCACCTCTGCTGCTCCACAGAAGCCCCCGCCGCACCCTGCTGCCACCCCCGCCGCTCCACCTCTGGTATGATCACATCATTTGTCACACAGACATCTAGCTCTATGACAACTCAAGAGGAAATCCTAGTTCACTTTGTCGTAGGCTTTTTCAAAATCCAATTTCAAAATTCTCTCAACTTGTTCTTTCACACGTGTGTGGTACAAATTTTCATGCAAGGACAAAAGACCATCCATGATGTTCATGTTTTTGATTAAAAAACACTTCATAAATACTAAAAAGCTTGTCAGCATAGGGATCAAGTCTAAGGTTCAGAGTTTTAGTAGTCCACTTACAAATGCATCTAAAAAAGTGGGTCCATATTGTTGAATCTTTCAGCTCCAAAAAAATTAGGTAACAATGCTATCACACCGTAGTTCAACCTATGAACAATCAAAATTCCAGAATGGAAGCAATTAGATACATGTGTAATTTCAAGCTTGACAATGTTACCAACTAGCTTGATAATTCAATGGGGGATACTATATGGGCCAGGAGCCCTGATTTGACAGTTAGCAATCACATTAGTTTCTTGATTGTTCGTCCTGAGTACCTAAATCGATCTTGAGGTCTAGATGCACTTACATATCTCCTAAATTGACAATTTTGAAAATCAAATACTATCCAAGTTGTATGTACAAATTGTCTCCTTGATCCCCTCAACTCTGTTTTTCCCACCTCCCTTCTTGCTGTGGCATTCTCCATCAAGCTCCGGCACTGCTCGACCGGTCGTGGGATTTCATTTCCGGTGTTTGTATTGTTGCTTAAAAATAGAACAAACATGGTGAAATAGAACCGTCAATGCAAGCCTCTTAACCTCAACCTTAGAACTATGCCATCATCTTAAATTTTTTAGAGGAATCGGATCCAAAGAGAAACCAGAGTTCAAAACATGATAAAAGTACAACTAAAGAAAAGCACCATCTTATTGCAACATGAGAGCAATGAAACCTTTGAACAATTCCATTTATACAAAGTGTGTACATTACACTAGAGTACCACGGTAAAAACATATCGCTTCCTTGAAAAACAAATTAAAAATCACCATCTCACCCGACTAATCACAACCTCCCATGCATTTTCTCTCGACGGGCCATTTCATTTTCTTCAACCGAAACCCCCAAAGTTTACCAACCGCTAGTGGGACCACCCGACGGTGACCGTGGCGGCTTCGTACCCCTCCTTCCCGCCACCGAACCGTATGGCGCCGCTGCTCCCCTTCCTCCCCCTCCGTCGCCTGTCCATGCTCCCGCCCTTGGCCACCGCCGACGACGCCTTCTCGCTGGCACCCTTCCGCCCGACCCCGCCAGCCTTCTCAAGCAGCCGCACCACCTTGGCCTTGCCTGTCACCGCTGCAGATGCCGCGGCCGTCCTCCCCTTCGCCGTTGCTGCCCTAGCGTTGGCCCCGGCCTTTAGGAGGATGTCCACCACGTCCGAGCGCCCCGCCTCGGCGGCGCAGTGCAGCGCCGTGTAGCCCTCGGCGTCGCACGCCTCCACGTCGACGCCCCGCTCGATGAGGTCGCGCACCGCGTCGGCGCGCCCCTTGAACGCGGCGCGCATCAGCGGTGTCCACCCGTGCGCGTCCCGCCCTTCCACGGACGCGCCGCCGTCCGCGGCCCGACGGACGGCCCGGGCCTCACCCTTCCGCGCGGCCGCCAGGATCGCCTCGCCGAGCCCTAGGAAGTCCATGATCCGCCCGGTGTGGCCCTCCTCGGCCGCGGTTTCGTAGGCCGTCTTGCCTTTCGCGTCGCGCACCGAGGCCGTGCCGGCCACGCCGTGCGCCAGGATCAGCCGGGCGACGGCCTCGTCGCCCCGCCTTGCCGCGGCGTGGAGGGCGGTGCCGCCGTCCGTGCTGCACCTCGTGTCGGCCCTCGCGCCCGCCGCGAGGAGCGCCTTCACCGCTTCCCGCCGGCCACCCTCCGCCGCCAGCCGCAGAGGTGTCTTGCCCTCCCTCCCCGCCGCGTCGATGGAGGTGAAGGAACCGGAGAAGGAAGCGGAGGAGGAGGATGAGCGGGGAGAAGCAGACGCGGGCTTTCCGAGAAGCAGCTTCAAGACATCGTCGTGTCCGGCCGCGGCGGCCACGTGGAGCGCGTCGGAGCCGGCGTGCTTGGCTCCGTTGGCGAGGAGGAGCTCCGCGATGAGGCACTCGCCGGACGCCGCAGCAATCTCGAGGGGTGTCCTCCCGCGGCTGGGCTTGTCGGCGTCGGCGCCGTACTCGAGGAGCACCTGGACGATGTCCGCGCGGCCGAGGCCGACCGCGAGGTCGAGCAGCGTGCTCCCGGACTCGTCCTCGGCGTCCGCGGCGCGCCACGCGGGGTCGCTGCGGTCGAGCACCTCCCTGAGCGCCTCGACGGCCCCGGTGGCGACGAGGCGCGCCGCGACCTCGGCGCCCACGAAGGACGCCCGGATGCCGCTGTCCACGAACACCTGCTTCTTCCTCGCGGAGAACCACTCAGGGTTCACGGAGTCCAGCGCAGAGACGGGCTCCCTGACCGAGGCGCCGGGCGCCACCACGCTGTGCAGCAAGAAGGCGTCCTCCCCGCGGCTGCCTCCCCCGCCAGGCCCGTCGGGCGCCTCCGAGGCCATGTAGAGCACCTCGACGGTGACCGCGGCGAGCGGCGCCAGGATCCCGGTGTGCGGGCGCACGGCGAAGCGGCCCCTCACGGCCGGCTGCAGGCGGAAGGCGACGGGCATGGTGTGCATGGCGTTGCGCAGCGTCAGCTCCCCCTTGGCCGGCCGCCCCGGCTCCACCCGCACCACCACCTCGTTCGTCGGCTCCGGGATCACCAGCCGGTCCATCTCGACCCACCCTTCTCTCAACCTTCACGTACGCGCTCTCCTCGCTTGCCGCCGCAGAGAGAGCTACCAGCTAGCAGGCTAGTGCGGCAATGGCGAGTTGTTGGTGGAGGTTGTGGTGGGGGAAGAAGCCATCAAAGGGAGTGAGAGCAGTGAAGGTGCGTTATGTAGGAGAGGCGCCAAGGAAGGACGGCCGGCGCGGCGTGGAGGCGTGCCACATGGCCGGTGTAAACAACAAGGCGGACTTGTTCTATATGCTGGCCGCCTTGGCCGTGGGCATGCGCCATTCGCCATTGTTTAATGACCAAGGTGGAGTTTGGTCCGTAGGGGCAATGTAGATGGAGATGGGGAGGGTCCGAGGCTGGACCGTAGCGGCGGAAACTTCCCGGCTGCATTGCCGGTCGCCGTCTGCCCCCGTCATTCTATTTGTGTAGGCGATCCTTAAACTAATGATATGAACAAAGCAGACGTGATTGGCCGGTAAAAATTATCAGATTTCCAATCAATTTTGTAGCGTGGCAGGTGGAAGTTTGACAGCAGAAACAGTTAAATTTCATGTGAGATGAGCTATCTAGCGTGTCACATTTGGAATATTAATTTGCCTAGTCCATTTTGTGCCAGCTATTTAGTAAGTAGTTTTAAACAAAAGGTGAGTAAACCATTGGGACCGGCCAGGGACAAGTCGCGTAAAAAAATCATTTGGCCAAGTTTCTTTATGCGAGAAATTTTCAATCTATTCATCTTCAATCATGATAGTACAATGAGCATCAAAAAAATTATATTCAGATTCGTAGACCACCTAGCGACGACTGCAAGCACTAAAGCGAGCCGAAGGCGCGCCACCGTCATCGCCCCTCCCTTGCCGGAGCCGAGCACAACTTGTTAATTCGGCCAACTTTTCTCAGAATCAAATCGACTTGCACCAGTAAATCAATTTTCTAAGGGACGCTCGGCCCTTTGCAACCACAAAGTAGAAGTTGATCAGATGCTTGGGCTTGATATAAAACATAATAGAAACTAACCCGATACCTGATAACACACAAGACAAAACGAATATAAATAAACAAAAATAAAAGTAAAGAAAAATAAAATGATTTTTTTGAAAGAAATAACGAATTTTGATTTTTTGTTTGGTCATTTTTTTTCTTTGACGAGAGGATGCGCCAACGTACTAGCCAGCGATGAAGTGGTGCATGCTTTGGATGTATATTTTCCTCACTTCACAACACAAGCTAGCTATCTATAGTATTATATTTTCTTGAGCAGATCCCGAAAACTACACACAAGTGTTAGAGTTCATAGATACATCTTCTATGCATAAATTTTTATCGATTGATTTAATGGAACTTAATCATGGTACAAGATCTATACAAAGTTAGAGTTCAATTATTCTTCACATGAAGAAAAAAAGAGATGATGATCAAAGGCGTATGTATGCATGTAATATTTGTAGTTTTCTAAATGAAGAAAATAAAACAAAAACTAAAACAAAATCAAAATAATGAAGTTTTCATAGAAAAAATTGAATTAGTAGCATTGATATTGCCCTTTAAAAATAGTAATGAAACAAATAATAAGAAATAGCACAAAATTTACACAGAAATTTTGCCTTTTCATAATATGCAAGGGTAAGCATATACTAGTAATTGTTTTTTCACACAAAAAAGAAGTCTCCTAAGATAGAATGAATTAGTGACATTGGCCTTTTACCCTTAAAAAATTAAAATTAAAATAAACACTAAACAAATTCAAAATAATAAAATTTTCTAAGCAAGAATGAATTAGTTGCATTGGTATTACCCTTTGGGAAGAACATAAATTAAAAATAGAGTAATGTTTTTTTGCACAAAATTTACACCAAAATTGCGTCTTTAATCATATGCAAAAATAAGCATACAATAGTGAAATTTTTGCAAAAAGAAGCTTTGTAAGAAGGAATGAATTAGTGACATTGGTGTTAACTTTAAAGAAGAAAGAAAATGAAAACTAAAAAAAAATCCAAATCAAAATAACAAAGTTTTCTTACGAAGAATGAATTAGTGGCATTGATATGCAAACTTTGCACATAATTTACATAGAAATTGCACATAAGTTATATAGAAATTATGTATTTTTTATATTATGCAAGAATAAGCATATAATATTCTAATTTTGCAAAAATAAGTTTCCTAAAAAGGATGAATTATTGGCATTGATATTACCGTTAAGAAGAAAGAAAATGAAATAAAAAAGGAAAAAAATTAAAAGAATGGAGTTTCTAAGAAAAAATAATTAGTGGCGTTGATATTTCCATTTAAGAAGAAAGAAAAAACATAAAAATACTTGCGTACTCAAGTTATACTTTTCAATATGCAAAGAATAAGCATATATTAGTACAATTTTCATACACTAATTTAATTGACATACGTACTATATAATACACGCGTGTATACATTTTCAATCATCCAACATGCCAAAATTATGCATCTAGAAAAAATGACTAAGATATAAAAATAAAATAAAATAAATAAAAACACATGCAATAAAAAAGAAAATAATGTGTGACGGGCTTCAAGCCCAATAGGAAAATCGAATTACCCCAAACCGGGGCTAATAAAAAATTCAGCCTAAGAAAAATTGTCTTACCCCATACAGTGGCAAGTCAAAAAATTTAACTGTTTTTGCTGTTAAACTTCCACCTACCATAGAAAAATCAGCCTAAGAAGCCATGAAACAACATAGAGAGAAAAAAACAGCACAAATATTGACCAAAGAAAAAACAACGGTAAACATGTAAAAAATTAAGAGAACAAATTACTGCACCAATTTTGTTTTTTGTGTTGGCATGTGCTCTTCGTGTTAGAGAACATAAACATGATAATTCACTGTCCCTGAGCAGTTAACCCATTATCAGAAAAACTAAAATAAAAAACATCAACCCTTCCTTGGTAGTATTATATACGTCATAATAATCCAAGTAAGGCCGGTTAATCATGTCACTGTAATGCATCTTCAATCTCTGATAACCTTGCTGTCTGTCTGTCTATTTTTTTAGAGAAAACTGTCTGTCTATTTTGATGCTCACCAACCGAATTGGTATTCTGAATTTCAGACCGTCTTTAATTTATGTCATGGTAGGAGACAAGATCAGTCTACTTCTAGATGTGCATAGTGTTTTCTTAGAAATCCACACCAGAAGTTAAATTCTTTTAAAGTTCCATACATACTCGGTGGCAATGTTTCATGGGTTTCCCCTCTTTGTAAAAAACTCTTAACGCATTTCTTGGATGGTCCTGCGGTCCTGCCTCTTGTAAGAAAATGGCACAATAATGACAAAATATGTGCTAGCTCCCCATGAAACCTTCCGTATAGGACAATAGAATGTCTTTATCAGAATTCTTGCATTTGTCATACTAACTAACCACCCTCCAACCAAATGGACAAAGCGAATCAAAACCGCTTGTCGTCTACGTATCACTCCGGACTAATTACGGTTAATTAGTCGACACATTGCAAGCCTCACCTGCGTTTAGTTAAAAATAACACTCGTCCCTTGTGGAAATTATGATCTGGTGCTGTAAATTGCTTTGGTGGTATCCACCCTCATTGCTGCATTTACAAGGCAGGTAGAATTTTTTTTGCCCCTTCTTCAAGTGCCAGCCAAGAGCTTGGAATTTACAATGGGGAGGAGGAAGTCATGTTTATCTGTCCATCCTTGCTCTGATGTTAATTTTTGCAAGGTAAGTACAATGTCTCGGCTTGTCGCCGTTTAGACACATCACTTATCTTACTGGGATAGCACATTGTCTGGCATTCTGTTTGCTAGCAAGTAGTAATTGTTTTTGCTCTTCCTGCCGATTCTAATCAGGGGACGGAGTTACTGTACCAATGAATTGGTCCACACGTCATTTTCAGATCAGTAGTATCTTTCTTTCTTTCTCTGTGGAGAAAGTTATCTGATGGCTTAACCAATTGCAGAGGACTGGGTAAACAGATAGGTTCCGGATTTGGCCCTAAGAATAGATTGAGCATTTGGGCGTTTGCAATGGGAATGGGCATCTCAAGCAAGATACCAAGAGCTCGGTTTGTAAGTTAGGAAGAATGATATATAGAACTAGTAGCCATCCATGACAAGTTAATTGTGTGTGGTGATAATAAACTTTATCACGCGATTCTCTTGCGAG